ATCCGCATTGTGAGTAAGGTTGTAGTAAGAATGGCAGCAGTTGACCACTTGATTTTTGGATATTTAACAGACCACATAATCGGGTCAGAGCTACAGACGCAGTCCTCGGAATCGCCTTTTCCAGCTTCCTTAGCGTTTCCCCGTTTTTACGCTAAGACGTCTCAGTTTTTTTTAACAAGGTTAATTCCATTGAAATGGAGTTTTGTGCCTGCCGTGTTCTTTTAAAAAAACTCAACCTAGACTACTAAAAACTGTTCTGTTTTGTAAGTATTATCGTGCGTCTCTTTTACTGTTTTATTTCTCTATTTCTGAAGATCGTATTTATTCTCCAAGTTACGCGGCAGTTAGGCAAAAACATAAGTTAACTAATCTGACACCTCTATGTTAAGTATTAAACTGTGTAATTATTTACCATACTGCCAGCACAGGTACTAGCTATCACCTTTCAGAGTGCGCCTAGAATGGTTTGCACCGAAGGATTTACTTCAAGTTTGCACGTTTCTTTCCTTAAAAAAAAGACATTCTAAGTATTTTTCCCAGCTTAGCCATAATTAGAAGTTATGTCATGCTTATTTTAACGGGTTCGGTCTGCTGGCTTTCTGGGGTATTCCTTCCAACATTAAATCTGGCTCTCAACCATGAAGGTTTTTGCCGCCGGAACAGCGAGACCAATTTTGCTTGCTGCTTAAAATTCATATGCGTCTATCTATCCTTCTTACATGTTTTCGTCTTTGTATTTTTTTTCTACTAGAAAGTTTCTGTTCGACGATGGGATGTCATCCAACGCGTCCTATCCGAGAAAATCGATTCCGCAGCTGCGTTTGAGGTCAGTCCAGACTTTCGTAATTGATTCCACCGCGTTTTGCAAATGACCTTACTGCGTCACCTCTGGTACGTGTTTCTATGGTAGCTCTTTTCGTTATTCGCAGACGGGATGCGATTGATGAGTCGGCTCAAACTGTTCTGAAATTTCGTAGCCTGCTACACCTTGCTCTGGCTTGAGTGACTGTTTTCGTATTGTTTTTTACACGTGCTCTTAGTCTCTCATCTTTAAGTCCTCCCATTACCCACGTTTTGTGACCTTACAGAAAGCCGTAAACACCTATAACAATCGCTACGCCCGTAGCTGGAACGTTGACTGTCTTTCGGCCGCTCTTGTGCAACGGCCTGATTTCGTACCCTTGTTGCAGAAAATTGCTGAACTAGCTCTCAAGGCACCGGATCTCGTTACACAAGTGAGTCCTGTACTATTTGTCGTTTTTCTCATGGACGTTTTTGGCGATCTAAGACCGTCGCCTGGGATTCACAAGTTTAAGTACTTGTTTTTCTACATGGGCTTACTCGGTCGCATAGCATCCGAATTCACCACAGTAAAGTTAATGTTCCTTGTCTAACTCGACTGCTGTTTTTTTTCTGGATTCCTTTCAGCCGGTACCTCTTCTGCGGCAAAATAAGGAGAGGAGTCTCTCACTCAGTCAGCTGCAGATTGCCTGTCTGCTAGCCAATGCTTTTTATTCCACTTTTCCTCGACGTAATGCCACGGGCGTCAATTCCGAGTACTACGACTTCCCTACTATCAACTTCAGTTCCCTTTTCTGTGGCACGTGCGTTCACTTAGACTTCAAATTTAAACGCTTACTTATTTGAAGTGAGTAGTATTATATATCACATATTAATGCGCATGCACTTTATAGGGGGTACGGTGACGAATCAAGCGTCGAAAAGATAATATGCCTGTTGCACTACTTCTCCCGCGTCTTCGATGACGATGGCCCTCCCAGCGGAACGGTGACATTCACTCGCCGTTGCCTACACAGTCCTCCTGACTTTTCCGCCAGCGAAATGTTGGTGGGCTCAATTCCCTTTGGCGTCAGCTCATCCTGCCTCATCGAGGATACCCAAGGCAGTGCATTGCATG